ATATATATAAATATATGAAAAATTAATGTGGGTATTCAAATGAAAGGTCTTGATGAGTCTAACATCGGGATGAGTTTATATCTTAAAAAATATCAATAGTAGACAAGATACAAGGTCAGTTTTTAATTATTGATATTTTTAAAGATGTAAGCTCATCCTGACGTTACACTCATCGAGAGCTTTCATTTGAGTACCCACATGCATTTTGATATATTTTTCATATATATACATATATATGATGTATATAAATATATAAAATATATGAAAAATTGATGTGGGTACTCAAATGAAAGCTCTCGATGAGTGTAACATCAAAATGAGTTTATATCTTAAAAAATGTCATTAATTAAGAAATGACCTTGTATCTTGTTGACTATTGATATTTTTGAAGAAATAAGCTCACTCCAACATTATACTCATCGAGACCTTTCATTTGAATACTCACATCAATTTTTCATATATTTTGTATATTTATATATATTATATACATGTATATATGAAAAATATATCAAAAATGCATGTGGATACTCAAATGAAAGCTCTCGATGAGTGTAATATCAGGATGAGCTTATATCTTTAAAAACTTCAATATTTAAGAAAGTACAGTGCAATTTAACAAAATTCATTATTTAATAAAACAAAATTCCATTTATTTATAGTTTACAAGTCCCATAGTGACTGCAAGGTTACTATTTTTTAGTAAAATTAATTAAAATAAATTTTAATACTAAAAAATTCTTGGGAATAATTGTTGACAAATTTAATTTAAATAAATTTTAATATATTAAATACTGAAAATTATTTTTAATTAATAAAAATAAAAAATTTTGGTAAATTTCCATTTTTAAATTAAAACAAAATAATTCTCTTTTGACATGAATTAATTGGCAATAATTGACACAATTACCAAACCACTAAAAGTCAATTGTAAATGATTACGCGAAACAATTAATAAACTCTTTCAATTGATATCGATGAATAAGATACACCAGAGGTCAACGATGGAAGTTTTTATTTGGGCTCACCTTCATAAAGTTAAAAGAAAAACGAAAATAAATTGGCAGTATCTGTTAATCGATACTATTGGAAGATTTATGGCGGTGAGCTTTGCCAATTTTATTGTTCTCAAACGTCTACGGATTAAATTTAGGAGCTCGTAAATTTAAATGATTGCTATTAGAAATGTTACATATTATTTGTACGAGTGAAGATATTAATTATGGCAAGAGTTCAAATTACTTATTAATTATCAGTAGTTTATTTTAAATGATTGTAAACGTAGATAGACACGTGGTGCTTGCAGACTTACGGCTTTTAAATAAGTCTGATTTTAATTATTATTATTATCAACTGTTTCAGTGCAATTTATTACTTATATGTTAATTTAATTGACGCGATTGCTACGAAAATAGTGCGGCATTTCCTGAACTCAAGGAGATATTTATAAATTTTGGCTTGTATGTAGTTCATGAAATTATTTTTAAAGAAAAAAAAATTGTATTATTAATAAATACAATTAAAAGTTTTTTTTTTTTTGTAAATAAAAAATTAATTAAATGTGATTTGAAAAATGAATTTTTAAATTAAATTTTTTCTATTCAAAAGTAAAAAAAATTAATTTTTGTCTTTTTTTTTATTTAAATTATTTAAACATCAATTTTTAGAGTACTTTTATTATTTTTTTCTTGATAATAAAAAAATTTACTTAGATATTTTTAAATTTTGATTATCGATCAAGAAGTAATAGAATAATTTCAGTTTTTTAATAATTTTATCAAAAAAAAAAATTGTAATGACAATTTTTTGAATTTTAAATTCTATAAAATTGTAAAAATTAAAAAAATTGAGGTATTTACAATTTTTTTTTTTTTATTAATTATTCTGCGTACAATTTAGAAAATAAATAAATGCGTAAATATTCAAAAATGATTAATACCGCTATAATAAATCAAAAATCAAAATTTACAAACTTTTTTAAAATTCATAAAAATTTTTTTAAATCATATGAAATTTTTTTGTTTAATTTTTCATGTTTAAAAACAATAACATGATATTCTATAAATTAATATTTTTTATTTAAATATAAATCTAGAATTTTATAAACTCATAATAAATATTTTCGAAAATCAGCCATGAAGAATAAATTGAAAAAAAATTTTTGTTTTTATTTATAAAAAACAGTGGAGAGTCCACATCTAAACAATAGCCTAAAACTTAAAAAAAATAACTAATAATTAATATACACTGAGAAAAAATAAAATTATTTTTAGACCAAGACTCTTGACTCAAGAATTTATTTAATAAAAATTTGGTAAATATTTACAAGTGAGGTCAACCATTTTAATTTTCATTTTTTTGAACGAAATTTCTATTTGATTTTATTGAGATATATTTTTTTGAAAAAAAAAAAAAAAAGTTAGTTATCACAATTTTAACAAATTAAAAAAAAAAATTATAAATTTTTTTTAATGTTCTTTTTAAAAACATCAAAAAAAGATAAAATAAAAATTTTATTCAAAAATATAAGCCAAAATTTTTTCCAACTTTTAAAGGCAAAAAAGCTAGTGAAATCTTTATTTTATTCTTTCACATTTTTTATCATAAATGCGCCGTAAAAACAAACAGAATAAAAAAAAATTTGAAAATGTTAATTTTTTACCTAGTTATAGACCATAGTCCAAAATGGGGTTGACCATTTGCAAATAATTACCAAAAATTTTTATCCCAAAGAATATTAAATTTATTATAAAAAAAATTTCGCTTTAATTAAATAAAAAAATCATTTCTTTTTCTTTATTTCATTATTACTACCAAAGCTTATAGTAAGTTATTATTAAACAAAAATGTATCTATTGATATATTGCTATAGGAGCTTCCTTATGAGGAATTTATAAATTAAAAAAATTAAATTGATCAAACAAATTATTTAGACCAGTAATATTCCTTCAGTCAAAAAATCCCATTGCAGAAAATTTTTAAGACTATCCATTCTTGTTCTAGTATCAATAAAATTATTTTTTTTTTTTCAGTGTAGAAAAAATAATTTAGTAAACAAACCTAAAATAACCCCAAGAACAACTCCAGACAAAGTGACAAGAAGAAGCATGTTTTCCCTGATCCACTTCCTAGTATCGGCTGTCACCTTGCGGGGCCCCTGGGAGGCCGAGACATCCTGGCCACCCATCTTAGCGAAGAGATACTCAGAGAAGCGGGCGGATGACTTCTCTTCCATTTCGAGGTTCCCGATGCGCAGTCGTTTTGAAAAAACTCCAGAAGCTGACGACGGCGATGGTGATGATGGCAGAGACGACGCCGAGGGTATTCCTGTCCCTGAGACCGGTGACACCCCAGCAGCTGTTCCCGCGGGTGACGATGGTACCGACGATACCTTACGCGATTTCTCGGCGGAGCCCCAGCAACACCACCACGAAGACGACGACGGGTTGCCGTTTTGGGGGTGTTGAGAAAAATTCCAAGTAACTAACCAGTCACGACCCTCGATCCACTCGCGAATCTTCCGCTTCCTCTTTTTCTTAACGCTCCAGGCGCTGCCCTCAATCGCTCCTTTTTTATGCCTGGACTTTCGGTCAATTATTAATTAATTAATTAATTAATTAAAATAATTTTTTATTTCTTCTCCAAAGTTTCCTTTAAATTATTTCTTCAAACTCCAAAAATTCAATCGATTTTTTTTTAAATAAATCCACCCTTTGGGATGGTCCACTTTTATTTCCGTTGTCTGAGGTCGATCCTGGAAACCCCAACGACCTCGAGACCGTTGCGCAGGGTCAATTACCTCGAGCTCTAGTTACACTTTTTTTTTCCGGATATAAAATCTTTATATTAACAAAAATTACCAGCAAGTATTTCTTCCCGATAAAAAATATCCTTTTTTTCTCTCTATTATTCCCAATCAGGACAATTTTAGACTTTATTACAATTTATTCCAAGCCGAGTAATTATTTATTACTAAATCTGGTGTGGACCAGACAACGGATCGGTTATTACTGACTCTGTTGAGCGTAATAACGTATTGATTCTCAAACAGTCTCTCAATATTCGCGGGTGCGCAGGATTCCGGACTTGCGCAGATTTTATCGCTTGTAGTTGTATCTTCCTCGGAGATTCTATATTATCTAATGTCCTCAGCCATTAGTACGGAGTTATTATTTATTTTTTAACTCTGGGTTGACAATTTGAATTATTTATAATTACTTAATATTTTTTAACACGTACCTGGAGCGAGGATTATTTGTTGGGAGACTTGGGAAGCTGATATTGATTCATTGATCGACCCTAGGTTGGATAGAAAGAAAAACATGAATGAACTTGATTTTTTTTTAGGGTAATAAAGATTTGCAAGCTAATATGCTTTTTATTTTTGTTTTTTGTTTTTTGAAAATATTGAAACTAACTTTTGGTTTAAAAAAATAGTTAGGCAGTCAGAATTTTTTTTTTATTATTTTATGCAATTATGGTATCTATAAAATATTTCTAGAAAATTTTAAGTCAATTTAATTGATATTTTTTTTGGAAAAAAATTTTTTTAAGAGATGTTTTTTTTTTTTAATTAATTTGAGTGGTTTTAAAATGAAGATTTTTCTTTAAAAATATGATACTAAAATATGAAAATTAAGTTAGCTGATAGGGTAAATGCACCAGTTGTTGACCGGTCACCAATTAGTTGACCGATGTATAAAAAAGTTAATTAATTAATATTTTACAAGGGTTTTTTTTTCTTAAAGTATTAAAATTAAAAAATATGGCATTTAATCATCATAATAAAAAATTACGCAATTAATTGCGCAGTGATTATAGCTTTGAAAAAATATTCTGAGTTTGTTTACAACGCAACCAGCCATAAAGCGGTCAAAAATAACTAGCGTACAATTGGAGAGTGAGTGCATTTCATCATTAATTTAGTGATATTTATCGGCATAATATAAAATATTTTAGTTTTATTATGTTAATTAAAGATCAGATTCCAACTTTTTTGAAAAAATAAACTTAAATTATAAGTTTTAATATTATTTTAAGACCGGTCAACTATTGGATCCGTCAGAAGCCCTTTATCCAGTAAAAAATTCATTCGGTCATTTATTAGACCCTCTGATTTTATCACAATCCAATTAATCACCGTATATTTATAATACTAACTTCTTAACATCAAAATTAAATCTGTCCAGTGTTTAAAGTACTTTAGTCATTAAATATTTTGTAAATATAAAAATAATCATTATAAAATGTATATTTACAATTAAAATAATACTTAAAATTTTTTTTGATTATTAAATTTTATTTTGTTGTAATTTTTTTAGTGAACGGTTATATCAAAGAACGAATTATTAGAAGAAAGAAACTGCTAAGCAATTAAAAAAATAAAAAAAAATTACAAGCTAGTGTAAAAAAGCTTTAATTGAAAAAAACAAGGAGAAGGATAAAAAAATTTCAAGTGAATCAGAATAATTATCGTCATCAAAATTAATTTATGATTATTTGTGATCTAAAGAAATGTGACTTTATGTTAATTGTTGCTATTATTTATATTATTTTATAAAAAAGTACGGTTTAAAATTATATTGTATGTTTAGTTTTGTTAAAGATGTCGTTAATACTTCAAAAGTACTCTATAAATTTAATTACATACATGTAGTTTACAAAATTACTTATAATTATTTGAGCGGTGAATTAATTGGAGAACGGTCGGTCATTTATTGGGTTTCTTCGGTCAATAATTGGTGATTTTAGTATTTCAAGATTCAAATAACAAAATTAATATAATTTTGTTAATTTTTATTATAAATAGTTATTAATTATTATTAATTAAGTATTTAACTTTAATAAAATCCAATATAAATTGGTTTTAGTAGGTTAATAGATTTTTTATAGCTTAGTACAGAAAAAGAAAACCTTAATCGGTCAATAATTGGTGCATTTACCCTAATCTAAAATTTTTTAGAATTTTTTTTAGTAAAAATTGTTACAAAAAAATTAAAAAAAAAAATTCAATTTTAAAAAAGTTTAAAAACTATAAGTGCGATTTTTTAAAAATATTATTTAGTTTTAATTTAATTATTAAAAAATAACTCAATAAATTAATAATGCAACTTCTAATGATTTCTAGGATTTTTTTTTAAATAAATTATTATAAAAAATAAATTTATAGAAAATTTCACTTGTGATTATTTCAAAAAGTTATTAATGTAATTAAAAAAATATTCTTTTTTAGTATTTAGATTTTGTATAAAATCTAAAGTATAAAAAATATCTACTAATTTTAGCTTCGTTTATAAAATTGATTAATTTTGAGCCGTTAATTTTGTTAAATTGCTAGAAAAATTAATACGGCTGAATAAATTAATAAAAAAAAAATATTTTTCTAAAAATTTAATAAAAATTAATTAAAAATAAATTACGGCAAAAAAATTGACGTACAAATTTAAAAAAATAAAAAATGCAATTTTTTTTAAATAATTTATAAGTTTTGTTATGTAAAAAATATTTAATTTAGGATTTATTTAATTTTGTTGTCTAAAAATTATTTCAAAAAGTGCACTATTAAAATTTATTTCGATATTTTTTTCAACACTAAAATTCTGTAATTAAGTTATTCTAAAATCTTTTGGTTTAAAATAAATCTTTTATCTAATGTTCTTTATCATTACTTAACTATTTCTTATTTTAAGTATAAGTGAGTTTGCTTACGTATAACAAAACTCCTATTTACCTATTTAATAATCTCTTTAATATACCTGGGCTCCAGACTAATTACGGGAATTTCCCTGGGCCTTTTGCAAAAATCGAACGAGACACTTAATGACCGCACTCGAATTATCTTTTACAATCGTTAAAATTTAAATAAAATCATACTCGATTTTTCTATAATTAATATAAATATGTAAAGAAAAATTTCTTTACATAACAGTTTTATGACATTAAAGTTAGCAGTCACTTGACAATTTTTTAACTTTATTTAACAAAAAAATTTGTTTCAAAATTTTATTTTTAAAAAATTGCATTTTTTACGATATTTAAAAAAAATTTTTTTTATTTATTTTTTAAAAATGTCAATTTTTTGTCATAATTTATTTGTTATAAAATTATTAAATTATGCTAAATTAATTATGAAAATTAAGTTAGCCGACATTTAAAAATTTCGAGAATTTTTTTTTATTGAAAAAAATTATTAGAAAAAAATAATAAAAAATTTTCATTTGTAAAAAATTTGACAAACTATATATCAGCGCAGTTTTTGAAAATTGTTTTTTAGTTCTAATTTAATGAATGAAAAATAATTAAAAAATTGAAAACATCGGCTAAGTTTAGTATTATAAATTAATTTTTCAGAACAAACTATATGATATTAAATTTAGCTGTCACTTGACAATTTTTTAATAAATTTGTTAATTTTTTTAATAAGTGTTAATTTTTTTTGTCACAATTTATTTGTTAAAAAAATTTCTTAAAATTATAAACTATCCACTAAATTAAAAATCTTACCTTTTTTTATCAATAAAATATTTTTCATGAAAATTATTAAAAAATTCAATAAAAAATTATTTTAATCGACAAGAATTCATATAAGAACATAAATTATATTCTTCTTGTCTTTATTTAATAATAATTTTTATATTAAATGCGCATAAAATAAATTAACTGTCATCTTGTGATCTAAAATTTATAATAACCAATAAGAACACCTGAGCTCAAAAATTATCCGGTGCTGCCACCTTGCGGAGCGCCCTCTAACTAAATATTTCGTCCACATGTATAGTGTATAGGCAGCCATTTTTATTTACGTACAAGTAAAAGTCTGTGAGGGTTAAAAATAAGTTATTAAAATAATAATTAGCTGTGTAAAAAATAAACAATCCACAGTTAAATAACTGGATAATAATTATTGTTGTAATCACTGCGTACAAATAATAATAAATATTTGTAGTCAGTCTGATAAATAATGAACTGCATATATGTGAGAGTTCAGTTATAGTTTAGTTAATAATAAACCATACGTTTTTGTGATCATTGCTTGTAGAAAGCATTTGGCATTTTATTTATCTTTATAATAATAATAATCATAGTAATTAATCATTTTTAATTAATTACATTAATTATTCATAATAATAATCACCATGGATTGTCATCGAAAGGTATTTTATTTTTTTGGTTAATTTTTTATTTTAATATTTTGTGAGATTAAAATTTAGACATTTTATATTTTTTTTTTAATTATTTTAATAAAAAAAAAATTATAATTTTTTAACTTTAATTTATTTGAAACAAAAAAATATAAAAAATTATCAAGTGTGCTAATTTTTATTTTTTATTAATTAAATTATAAAAAATAATTATAAATTTAATTTATTAAAAAAAAATTGTAATTTTTATTTTTAAACTTAATTTATTTTTTAAAGAAAAATAAAAAAATTATCAAGTGTGTTAATTTTAATTTTACATTTTTATTTTTAATACTTGATGTTATTATTATTATTGTAATTTTTTTTAAGATGATTGTAAGACCAACACAAAATTACAAACCTAAAGAAAACGTTGCCGATGAAGATGAGGACGACCTGGAAGCATTGAGGTTAGCTGCGTTAATGTCGCTGAAAGCTAAGCCTAGCAAGATACCACCACCACCTCAGAAGTCATTCGTACCTCCTGGAAATTCATATCCGATGTACAATAGTAATAATAATATTAAAAACCATGGGAGTTATAGAGGAAGGAGGGATTTTTATCAAAATCGTCCTTTAGTCAGACAAAATGGGGTAAGAATTTTTTTATTTTATTTTTTTTTTAGTTTCATAAATTAATTTTGTTAATTTTAATTTATTTTTATTAATTTTAATTTAATTAATATTTAATATTTTTTTATTCAATTTATTATTATTGTTTTTATTTTTATTTAATATATTTTGTGCTTTCAGAATCAAAATGCGTATCACCCAAGTAGAAATAATCAAAATCTCATTGAAATTATTCCTATGGAGGAGAATGCTCCAAAGGATGGTGAAGATAAAAAAGATACTGCTGCGTCTGAAAAAGGTGAAGATTTTTATAATTTTTATTTATTAAATCTCATTTTATTGTACCAAAAAATTATTTAATGTCTCTTGATTATAGTATCATAATTAATAAACATCTGAAAATTGTATTTAATTTATTTTAATAGCTAAATTTTTATAAAAAAATTTTTAACAAGTAGAAATTTAAAAAAATTGTAAATAAGAATTATTAAAAATTCAAAAAATTATCAAATGTCAGCTGATTTTAGTTTTATATTTCAATGGTACTGAAATTAGTAGACATGTGATCATTTTTTTAATTTTTAGAATAAATCAATAATAAAAAAGTTTATTTTTCAAAAATTCTTTATCTCTAGATACATGATTAAGAAATGACCTTGTATCTCAAAAACTATTGACATTTTTAAAGATATAAACTCATCCTGATGTTACACTGATTGAGACCTTTCATTTGAATACCCACATCAATTTTTCATATATTTTGTATATTTATATATATTATATATATATATGTATATATGAAAAATATATCAAAAAGGCATGTGGGTACCCAAATGAAAGCTATTAATGAGTGTAACATCATAATGAGCTTATATCTTTAAAAATATCATAAGTTGACAAAATACAATGTAATTTCTTAATTATTGACATTTTTAAAGATACAAGCTTATCCCGACATTACACTCATCGAGACCTTTCATTTGAGTACCCACATCAATTTTTCATATATTTTTTATATTTATATATACTATATATATGTATATATAAAAAATATATGAAAAATGCATGTTGGTACTCAAATGAAAGCTCTTGATGAGTGTAACATCATAATCAGCTTATATCTTTAAAAATATTATTAGTTGACAAAATACAATGTAATTTCTTAATTATTAACATTTTTAAAGATATAAACTCACCCTGATGTTACACTCATCGAGACCTTTCATTTGAGTACCCACATAAATTTTTCATATATTTATATATATCATATATATGTATATGTGAAAAATATATCAAAAATGCATGTGGGTACTCAAATGAAAGGTCTTGATGAGTGTAAAATCAAAATGAGCTTATATCTTTAAAACCGTCAATATTTAAGAAAGTACAGTGCAATTTAACAAAAGTCATTATTTAATAAACCAAAATTTATTTATTTAGAATTCACAAGTATGCAGTCACGTAGTGACTGCAAAGTTGCTAGTTAATTATTATATCATACAGAATTGAAAAGATTTTATATTTGTTGCTCAGTTTAATATTCTAATTAATATAAAAAAAAAAATTTTTTTATAATTTCTCCAACTTATCCTTTATTTAAATTACTAAACAAATTTATTTCAATTAATCTTCCAGAAAATTCAAAATTCCGTCGATACGACGACGCAAGCGGTTCCGAGGACGAAGACATAAAACCAAAACCCACCCTCGAGCAGCCATCAAGCAGCCTAGGCGACCTAGGTAACCTAGACGACCTAGGAGACCTTCCTGACCTCCCAGACTCAGAACCTCCCAAAGAAGACTCTCAGACCGACTCTGACCCAGGCGAAGCCTCGGAGTCGGGTTTACCCGACTCCAATTCTCCCAAGGAAGAAGAACCTTTACCTACTGAAGAAAACGAAGAAGAAAACCCAGACTCAGATAACGAAGCAGAAAAAGAAGAAGAGGACGACGACGACGTCCTCTTAATGGCCGACTACGAAGAAGAAGACTCCTTAGAGAGACTAATGGACGAGATGGAGCGCGAGATGGCCGACAAGCCTCTAGAAAAAAAGGAGAAGAAGCCTCGTAAAGACAAGGTCAAAAAAGACAAACCTAAGGCTTCTTCTATCTCCGCTTCAACTTCAACTGTTTCTAATTTAAGTTACAAAGTTCCTAAGAGCCCCGAGGCTCCTTACGAACGTCCTCGTCATCGGTCACCTTCTCCAAAAGCTAAAAGAAAAAAATCTCCTAGAAGATCTCCAGCGCGTTTGAAAAAATTAAGAAGGTCTCCTAGAAGGTCTCCTATTAGGTCGCCTAAAAGGTTAATGTCTCCTCGTAGAAGGTCTAGGTCAAGATCTAGGTCTCCTATTAGGAGCCGAAGGTCTCCTAGGTCTCCTATTAGGAATTCCAGGTCACCTAAAATTTCTCCTAGGAGAATTTCTCCGAGAAAAATTTCTCCTAATTCTCCAATTCACTCTCCTTGGACGTCTCCTATTAATTCTCCTAAAAGAAGACGATCTCCTATTGGTTCTTTAATAAATTTAAATTTAAATAAAGAAAAGGAGGAAAAATCCAGAAGAAAAAGATCTAATTCTCCGGAAGATAATTTAAATTTTAAAAATAAAATTGAAAAAGAAACTGAAATTAGTGACCCGGTTTTGGAAGCTAGAAGACGGAAATTTGAGTCTACAAAATTAATTGATCCGGTTAATGATAATAAAAAAATTAAATTGAGTCGCAAGCTTGAAGAAGAAGAAAATGTTGAAGAAGAAAAGTTAGAAGATGATGTTGAGGAAGGTGAAGTTCAGGAAATTAGTGATGAAGAAAAAATTGAGAATGAGGAAGTTCAAGAAGAAGATGTGGCACTTTGTTTGGATGAAAGCTATGATCTGGATGAATTGGAGGAACATGTCAGTGATGAAGCGGTTTTTGAAACGGTTAAAGTGGAGAAGAAGGTGAAGAAGAAGAAGAAGAAGGACAAGGAGATTTATCAGGTGGGGAAGCTCAAGGAACTGCCCTTGTCGGAGAGGCTGGGGAAGGAGAAAAAGTGCAAGAAGAGGAAGGAGTATGATGGGAAGGCTGAGGAGGGTAATTGTGAGGAGGTAGTTGATGAAGAAGCTGATCTGAGGACTGAGTTGAGTCGCAGGAGGGCTGAGAGGCTTAATAGGAACGCGCCTATTCAGTCTGCTAGGCTTTTGCAGTCGGCTTTTAAGGGAGTTGTTAATGAGTAAGTATCTTTTTTTTTAATTCGAATTTATTGTTGAGCAGTTTGATAATTTGATTTTTTTTAATTTTTTAATAAGGAATTTTTATTTAATTTAGAGAAAATTAAAAATTATTATTCATTTTTTTGATCAATTATAAAAATTAAATTAGTTATTTTTTTGGAAAAAAAATTAAATATTATTATTCATTTTTTTGATCAACTAGGGTAAATGCACCAATTATTGACCGATTAAGGTTTTCTTTTTCTGTACTAAGCTATAAAAAATCTATTAGCCTACTAAAACCAATTTGTAATGGATTTTATTAAAGTTAAATACTTAATTAATAATAATTAATAACTATTTATAATAAAAATTAACAAAATTATATTAATTTTGTTATTTGAATGTTGAAATACTAAAATCACCAATTATTGACCGAAGAAACCCAATAAATGACCGACCGTTCTCCAATTAATTGACCGCTCAAACAATTATAAGTAATTTTGTAAACTACATATATGTAATTAAATATATGCAGTACTTTTAAAGTATTAACGCCATCTTTAACAAAACTAAACATACAATATAATTTTAAATCGTACTTTTTTATAAAATAATATAAATAATAGCAATAATTAACATAAAGTCACATTTCTTTAGGTCACAAATAATCACAAATTCATTTTGATGACGATAATTCTTCTGATTGACTTGAAATTTTTTTATTCTTCTCCTTCTTTTTTTCAATTAAAGCTTTTTTACTAGCTTGTAACTCTTTTTTATTTTTTTAATTTCTTAGCAATTTTTTCTTCTAATAATTCGTTCTTTGATATAACCGTTCACTAAAAAAATTACAACAAAATAAAATTTAATAATCAAAAAAAATTTTAAGTATTATTTTAATTATAAATATACATTTTATAATGATTATTTTTATATTTACAAAATATTTAATGACTAAAGTACTTTAAACACTGGACAGATTTAATTTTGAAGTTAAGAAGTTAGTATTATAATTATACGGTCATTAATTGGATTTTGATAAAATCAGAGGGTCTAATAAATGACCGAATGAATTTTTTACTGGGTAAAGGGCTTCTGACGGATCGAATAGTTGACCGGTCTTAAAATAATATTAAAACTTATAATTTAACTTTATTTTTTTAAAAAAGTTTGAATCTGATCTTTAATTAACATAATAAAACTAAAATATTTTATATTATGCCGATAAATATCACTAAATTAATGATAAAATGCACTCACTCTCCAATTGTACGCTAGTTATTTTTGACCGCTTTATGGCTGGTTGCGTTGTAAACAAACTCAGAATATTTTTTCAAAGCTATAATCACTGCGCAATTAATTGCGTAATTTTTTATTATGATGATTAAATGCCATATTTTTTAATTTTAATACTTTAAGAAAAAAAAACCCTTGTAAAATATTAATTAATTAACTTTTTTATACATCGGTCAACTAATTGGTGACCGGTCAACAACTGGTGCATTTACCCTATAACAATTAAAGTAGTTACTTTTTTTGGAAAAAAAAAAAATAACTACTTGGTTTCAATGAATCTAGTAATTTTTTTTTAATTACATTTCATTATTTATAATAAGAAATTTTTATTCAATTTTTGAAAAATTAATAAGTTCTGAACAATTTAAATAATTGAATTAGTCAATTTTTTTTTTTTGGAAAAATTGATAAATTTAATAAAAATATTAGAATGGAGACACTAAATATTGATCTGCATAACAATTTTATTTTAAAAAAACTAGTAATTTAATTTTTTATTTATAATATTGTTCATTAGGAATTTTTGAAAAATTATAAATTTATTGGAAATTTTTATTAATTTTTTTGAGCAATTTAAAAAATTAAATTGGTTATTTGTTTTAGAAAAATTGATAAATTAAATAGAAACTTTAGGGTAAAGATACTAAATATTTACCAAATTACAATTTGATTTTAAATAATCTAGTAATTTCATTTTTTATTATTTATATCTTATCTTATTTAATTTTCAAAAAAATTATAAAATTTTTATTAATTTTATAGACCAAGGGGAAAAATAAATAATTGATAATTTGGATAAGAATATTAAAATAAAGGAACTGAATATTTAGCAACATAACAATTTGATTTTAAAAAATCTAGTAATTTAATTTTTAATTATTTTTTATTATTATATTATCTCTAGATACATAATTAAGAAACGACCTTGTATCTCGTGAACTATTGACATTTTTAAAAATATAAGCTCATCCCGACATTACACTCATCAAGAGCTTTCATTTGAGTACCCACATGTATTTTTGATATATTTTTCATATACACATATATGTAATATATATATAAATATAGAAAATATATGAAAAATTGATGTGGGTACTCAAATGAAAGGTCTCGATGAGTGTAACATCGGGATGAGCTTATATCTTTAAAAATGTCATTAGTTGACGCGATACAAGGTCATTTCTTTATTATGTAATATTTTTTTAGCTCACCAACTCTTTTGATAAATTTACAAATTATTTATCTATATTAATTTTATCTAAACTGGTCAATATTTAAAAATTGTTTTTTAATTTGTAATGAATTTTTAGTAATTTATTATTATTTTTTTTTCAGAGTCGCCAAAAGTAATTCGAAAGTTCTTCAGAGGCAATTGATAAAGGAGGACAAACGTGAGTATTTATTTATATTGATTAAAAAAAAAAAAATAAAAATAGTTAGATTTGAATTTTCCAATAGAAAAATAATTCGTTACAGATCCTCAGAAAGAAATAAGACGTGTTACTCTATTGCATAGATCTATTCCCGAATTACATGATTCAGAAGGTACCTTTAAATTTTGATTGTTAATTTTAAATATTTTAATTAAATTTAATTTTTTTTAAAGCCACCCTTAGAAAATTTTATTATAAAAAAATTAATTGGAATTTTTTTTTAATAATTTACAGATGAAATGATCGATTCAAAGGTACCAATTAAATTCCGACTGGGGCTGAACAAAGTTCAAGAAACTCGAGAGACAAAATCATCCCGGAAATCTTCTAAGCGGCAAGGTCGAAAGGTAAAGCACAAAAATTTGATAGTTAACTGATCCACGATTACAAAATTTCCGTGTCTATTTTCCCTTGGAGAAGATTTTTATTAAAATTTAAAATTAATCATTTTTTATTTTTTTTTTTTTTTTTTTCAAAAAATAAATTTTATTCTTTTACAAGTATGCAAAAATGCGTCCAGTGTTAAATAGACATTTAACAAACAATGTGCCTTTTAAAAGTATCATAATTTTTTTTTTTAAATATTAAAATTAATTACTGGTAAAAATTGACGCGGAAAAAATTTTTTTATTTATTAAATAAATAATTAATTTTTTTTTTTATATTTTTTGTCTAGGGAACAAAAAAAAATACGCATTAATTAAAAGTGATTGCATATTTGTACGAAGTACAATTATAAATTAATAATAATTATAAATACCACTCATTAATGATTTAATCGTATTAAAATATAATGCTGGGTATTGTTAAAAATTAATTACCAGAATAATGTTAAGAAATAATTGTAATATTAATTATTAATTAACTTTTATTATAAAACTCTTCCTATGAAAAGAATTTGTATAAAAATAATCTATTAATTAGATTTAAAATTAAAAAATAGAATTTAATTAATAATTATTAATTAATTGATAATGTAAATAATTTTCGCCTTAATGATAAAGCACAAGCTAAATTAAATAAATGATAAATATAATAAGCAAATTAATGTCAGATAGCTTTTAAATTCGCCACCTTTTTTATAAATCTAATAATTTTTTTTTTAGATTTTTTTTTTTTGAGCACATAATGTTGTATGTAGAAAAATGTACATAATTATCGTGTGAATATTTTGTACCTGGAAGAATAGTTTAGGGATTTTTTTATAAGACCCATACGTAATTATTTTTGAGGTAATTTTTTTTTTTAATTAGGTAAAGTACCCTGGTGAATAAATTTGGGACTAGTTTTAATATATTGCGTGCCTAGAGGTAAAAGGGCGAATAGCTAATCTGTGAAAAAGTCATAAAAAAATTTTCAACGTTTTATTGAAATATCTAGAAAATTATAACATATTATTGAATAATATTAAAAATAATACTGTGAATATTTAATATTTTTATTTAAAAATGATAAATATTTGTATTTAATTTTTTAATTACATTTTTTATGAATGATAAAGCAAATTTTAAATTATAAATCTAAAAAACTCTACAAAACTCTAAAAAACTACACTAATTTTTAGCTATAAAAGTTAACAAAAATATAATTATTTTGATTTATAATTAAAAAAACTCACAAAAATCAATTACTGGGTACTTTGCCTTATATTTTGCATTTTTATTTTATCACTTTCTGAATTTTATTTTTATTAATAAAAAAAAATCTCATTAATAATTACGTCTTAACTTTTAAAAAATTGACTTACTTTGTAAAATATTTTTTCTGTACACAAATTTTTTTGAATGTTTAGTCTAAGTTTATTTAAATTTATCCTTAGAATAAATGACTTACAAAAATAAAAATAAAATAATTAAATAACTCTGTGATAAAAATTTATATTCAATAAGAATTAGTTTATAAGTTATTTATATTTATTGTCGGTTTTAATATTAATTATAATTATAATTAATTATTAATAAGAAAAATTATACTCAGTGCTAGTTTTACTGTGACTGATTCTATAAAAAAAATAGTTTAAGTGTTAGAACTTGTACTAGTACTATTACTAAATTTTTATGTACTTGTTTTATGATACGAGTCTAATACTAAGGACTGATAGATAATTAATTTAATTTCTTTTCAGAAAAAAAAAAAAAAAATTAATAAATGATATTTTTAAATTATATTGTGTTTTTTATTTTATGGGACATTCTATAGTGACTGGGGGGACATTTGACTCTGGAATTCCATCAATTATAAATAATTATGTAACTGAAACTTATTATTTCAACTTTAGAATTTTTAGATGGTACAGTAATTGGGACATCCTTGACAGGAATTGGGACATGTATTTAAAAATTACTGTTTCAACCTTAGAATTTTTAGATGGTACAGTAAGTGGGACATCCTTGACAGGAATTGGGACATGTGCTTAAAAATGACAAACTAGTCATTATTAAGCAGAATTTTTAGATGGTACAGTAATTGAGACATCCTTGACAGGAATTGGGACATGTGTTTAAAAATGACTGTTCCAACCTTAGAGTTTTTAGATGGTACAGTAATTGGGACATGTGCTTAAAAATGACGAAATAGTCATTTTTTTAAGCAGAATTTTTAGATGGTACAGTAATTGGGACATCTTTGACAGGAATTGGGACATGTGCTTAAAAATGACTGTTTCAACCTTATAATTTTTAGATGGTACAGTAATTGGGACATCCTTGACAGGAATTGGGATATGTGCTTAAAAATGGCTATTTTTACTTGGAATTAATTTTGTAAAAAACTTTAGAATCTAAAATTGTAACTCTGAAAATTTCTTATAAAAAACTTTTTTTACTACAGGCCTATAAATAAATTAAAACCCTCAAAAAAATTATTTATAATCATTAAAGATCTTGATCTTAAAAATTAAATTTTATCTTTAAAAAATTTTAGAAATATTTATACAAAAAAAAATTAGCATTTTAAATAAAAATCGGTATTAAATTTAATGATAAAGAAATATTAAAATATTAAGTAAATAATTGCGCAAGTTAAATTGCCCAATATTATAACAATCCCGTTACTTTTTGACGTATAAAAATAAATTTTATGAAAAAATAAATTAGTGCTGAATAAAACATTCTTAAAAATGGATTTACTAATTATTTCAACAGTAATTATCATCTTAATATTTATTTATTTATTAAAAAAAAATAATGTAATTAAATATTACACAAAATTTATATTCTTCCATAGTTTTTTTATATCAATAAGTTTTATTCTGGTGCCAATATTGATGTTCCGTCCAAAAAATATGAGAAATTGGATGATAGTTTCTAGAATTTGTGGATTTGTCCGCGTTTTAATGGGCCTGGAGTTAGAAGTGAGAAACCTGGCGGGTTTAAGAAGAGAAAAGGGGTGTATTGTAGTTTCTAACCATCAAAGTTCATTAGACGTCTTGGGATTGTTCAAAATAGGACAATTAGTCAATAATAATTGCGGAATTGTCGCTAAAAAAGAACTATTTTACATTTGGCCTCCTGGATTAGTTCTCTGGCTCTGCGGGTGTATTTTTATCGACAGAAAAAATCCTGATAAAGCTAGATTAAATTTAAACGCAGTTGCTGAGAAGGTTAGAAAGGAAAATATTAAGCTGTGGATTTTCCCCGAAGGCACAAGAAGAAATAACGGGAGGATTAATTCATTTAAAAAAGGCGCCTTTCACATGGCTGTTAATGCGAAGCTTGATATTGTTCCGATTGTATTTTCTTCTTACTATTTTTTGGAGAACAAGAAAAGATTTGACTCCGGAAAGGTTATTATTACTACACTTCCCGCGGTTTCTACTGAGAATTCTTCCCTTGAAGAAGTTATGGATAAAGTTCATCAAATAATGGAGAAGGTTTATCAAGATACGTCTGCTGAAGCTAAACTAGCAGTTAAGTCGTGATATTTTTGTTTATTAAAAGAAGAAATAATTTATTTTTTTAATTAATGTAATATAGAATATATATTTAACATCTAGTGAAAAAAAAAAGGGGTTTTAGTCTGTATAATTGAGAGAATTGAAAAAATTTTGTGTTTATTTATACCTTTTCGGAAGATGTTTCTGATAGCGAGAAGGAGTAGCCACCTAGCGGTGAAATCAAGAACTAACTTTTAATAAAAAGTGCCTACTAATCTACATAATTAAAAAAATAAGGAAAATTTTGTCTTTATATGTACCCTGACAAAGATGTTTGTGGTAGTGAGAATGTTTAGCCACCTAGCGGTGAAACTAAGAATTAATTTATAATAAAAAGTACCAATTAATCTATCTAATTAAGAGAATAAGGAAAATTTTGTCTCCAATGTTTTTATATAATAAAATAATTTTTAAAAATTAAATTTAGTATCATTGGAACGATCTTGATCTAAATTTGTGTTTTTTTATTTTTTTATATACTTAAATCTTGATGAGGTTAATATTAAGAATTTTTTGCTGATAAAATGCATTTTAATGATAGAAGAAAATTTTTTATTTATATATACCTCCTAGAAAGATTTTCTGATAGCGAGAAGACGCAGCCCTCTAGCGGCGGAATTAAAAACTAATTTGTAATAAAAAGTACCAAATAATCTATATAATAAAAAAAATAAGGAAAATTTTGTCTTTATATGTACCCTGACAAAGATATTTGTAGTAGTGAGAATGTTTAGCCACCTAGCGGTAAAACTGAGAATTAATAATTTATAATAAAAAGTACCAATTAATCTATATAATTAAGAGAATAAGGAAAATTTTTGCCTTTGGTGTGTTTTTATAATAAAATGAGTTTTTAAAATTAAATTTAGTATTATTAAAAAGGGATTGACCTGAATTTGTGTCTTTTTAATTTTTTTATTTAAGAAATTCTTCAGAAGGTCAATATTAATGATTTTTTGCTAATAAAAATCCTTTTAATGAAAGAAGAAAATTTTGTCGTTATATATACCCTCTAGTAAGATTTTTCTGATCGTGAGAAGGCGTAGCCACCTAGCGGCAAACCCAAGAACTAACTTCTAATAAAAAGTGCCTGCTAATCTACATAATTAAGAGAATAAGGAAAATTGTACTGTTTATATGTACCCCCAAGGAAGATGTTTTTGGTAGCGAGAAGGTTTAGCCATCTAGCGGCAACATAAAGAACTAATTTCTAATAAAAAGCACCAAATAATCTATATTCGTTAAGATAATAACGAAAATTTTGTCATCGACGTATTTATATTGCAAAATGAGTTTTTTAAATCAAATTTAGTATTACTAGAAAGATCTTGACCTTAATTTGTGCCTTTTCATCCTTTTATATATTAAAATCTTCATAAGATTAATATATTAATTATTTTGTGCTTATATAGAATTCATTTTAATAAAAGAAGAAAATTTTCTCTTTATATATACCCCCATAAGATTTTTCTAACAGCGAGAAAGCGTAGCCATCTAGCGGCAAAACCAAGAACTAACTTTTAAAAAAAATCTTTATAATTAAAAGAATATGGAAAACTTTATTTTCGGCCTATTTATATAATGAAAGTAGTTTTTTTAAATTAAATTATATTTGTTCATTAAATTATTTATAATTAACTGCCTATTTCTGGTATTTAATTATTTAAAGAAAAAATGTCTTTAAAATTATTACAAATTAATAAACTATTTATAGAAAATTTAATTTTTAATTAAGGAAATAATAATATATTTAATGATGTATAATTTCCTGTTAAAAAATAATAAATCACCGAGAATAAAAATAAAAAGTGAATGTTTTCGTAAAATCCACCTAAAAAAAAAAAAAATATAATCGCTAAACAAATATTACATAACCACCGAAAATAACCGACTGATTTAATTCAGTAGCCGTGCGAGAGATAAACACACAGATACTGTTATCAGTTTTAAGAGTACAATGTTCAGCGACATTAGTGATATAAAAATTAATCGATTAAGCTAATCAGTCAGTGCGCTTCGACATTTACAAAAATAATTAACGTGACAATGAACTTAAAGGAAATTCTGATAGCAATTTTAATTATCGGATTATTAATTTTATATAAAAAGAGCAATGTTATGAAATTTTACACAAAATTCTTTCTATATTACGGGCTTCTTGTCGTAACAAACACATTTTTGATCCCAATATTACTTTTACGCCCACGCGATGTAAGAAATTGCGTAATAGTAGCAAGAACTTGCAGTTATATCAATAAATTGTTGGGAGTCACGTGGGAAATTAGAAACAAAGAAAACTTACGGAAGAAAGCTTGTATTATTGTTGTGAACCACCAGAGCGCCCTCGACGTCTTAGGGCTGCACCAAATCTGGCCACTGATTGGCAAAGGCACTGTCGTCTCGAAGAAAGAGCTCTTTTATCTTACCGGGCCAATCGGAATTGTCTTTTGGTTATGTGGAATTATTTGCATTGATAGAAGAAATGCCGACAAAGCAAGATCTAATCTTAATGCCGTCGCTTGTAAGCTCAAAGAAGAAGACACTAAGCTTGTTATCTTCCCTGAAGGCACCAGAAGAAATAACGGGAAGGTTAATCCTTTTAGAAAAGGCGCTTTTCATATGGCTGTTAGTGCGCAACTTGATATTGTGCCGGTTGTGTTTTCTTCGCAGTATTTTTTGGAGACCAAAAAAAGATTTGACTCCGGAAAGGTTATTATTACTGCGCTGCCTGCGATTTCTACTGATGGCGCTTCCGTTGATGAGGTTATGGAGAAAACTTATAAAGTTATGGACGAAGCTTTTCAAGCTTCTTCTGCTGAAGTTAAAAATTCTATTAAATCATGATCTTCTTTTTAGATTTTTAAGTTAATTTTTTTTTTTACTCGAAAGAGAAATTTTGTAAAATATTATAAATTTTTGAAATAATTAAATATTGTATCTGAAATAATAATAAATTAATTTTTAATAAGCGAATTAAAATTTAATTTTTTTTTTACCTTGAAATTTCTTCTTTGTTTTATGTTGAAGATATTTTTTATAAAAAAATTATTTAATATTTATTGTTTTGTTTTTAAATTTTTGTTTAATACTAAGGAGAAATAAATTTTTAAAGAAATAATTAAACAATGTATCTGAAAAAATAATAAATTAATTTTTAATAAATAAATAAAAATTTAATTATTTTATTTTATCTCAACAATTTCTTCTTTGTTTTTTTCTATAAAAAAATTGTTAAATATTTTTATTTAATTTTTTTCAATAAAATTATTGTTCACTACTAAGAAGAAATAATTCTTTGTAAAATATTATATATTTTTTGAAATAATTAAACAATCTATCTAAAATAATAATAAATTAATTTTTAATAAACGAATTAAAATTTAATTTTTTCTTTTTTATCTTAAGAATTTCTTCTTTGCTTTATTTTGAAGATATTTTTAATAAAAAAATTAATATTTTTACTTCTAGTTAAATTTTTATTTACTCCTAAGACGAAATAATTACTTGTGAAATATTATGAATTTTTGAAGAAATAATTAAACAATGTATCTGAAATAATAATAAATTAATTTTTAATTAAAATTGAATTTTTTTTTTTCACCGTAGATTTCTTCTTTGTTTTGTTCTGAAGATATTTTTTTTTAAAATTATTTAATATTTTTATTTCATTTTTTTCAATAAAATCTTTATTTACTTCTAAGAAGAAATAATTATTTTGTAAAATATTAAAAATTGATGAAGAAATAATTAAACAATGTACAAATAAAAAATTAACTAAGTTTATTACCTTAGAAATTTCTTCATTATTTTATTCTGAAGATATTAATTAGAAACAAATAATTAAATATTATCTTAAAAATTCTCTTCTAACAAAGACCTTGATTTAACCTACACCACTCAGGTTCTAAGCTATCAGCCCTAATTCCTCGTTTAACTAATCGCTCGCGATGAAGAAGCATCCGTTGTTCGAAGCTTCTCCAAGAAGTTTCCGGCTCAGCCCACAATCTTTCCGCCAGAGCTGCCGATCTTGGCCACAAGCGTGAGTCTACAGAAGCGCTGTCAGTTTGTTCCGTCCACAGCGCAGCTTCGCCACCTGTAGGAATGTTCCATAATTAATAAACAATAATAAATCATGACGTCATAAGAAGAGAAGCTAACCTAAAATTAAATGAGTCTTATTTTCTACTCCATGATGCCGGGCGATATTCAAAGGAGAATTATTGTATATCTTCTTCCAGCCTTTGTAAGGTGAGCACCAGTTGGATCCTTCACCAATCCAAGCTTCGACCCTGGAATGAAAAATAATTTACAATTAAATAAAAAGTAAGTTTTAATTATATTAAAAATAACTTTTTTTTGAGTCATTAATTTAATATGTGAATTTATATAAATTTATGTAATAATATTTCATTATAATATTACTATATTTTTACAATTATTAATTAGTTAAATCGAAAATCTATAAAAAAATTTTTTTATTTACTTCAATAACATCTTGAATAAAGAAATTATTATTTAAACGAAAAATTTTAAGTTTTTTAAACGATAATGTTATTTTTTGGTTAAAAAACTTAAATGTATCGATTGAAGATAATATAGTTTTGAGTAAATTATCCAATGAAAACATACATTTCTTAAACCAAGAAAATCTAAACCAAGACAAGAAATTCTTGAAGCAAAAATAATCATTTGTCTTCCAAAATAAATTTTTAAATCAAGAAAATATCTCTTGAGTCAACATTAATTTTCTATCAGTGTACAGTGCAATTTAACCATATTCATTAATAGGTATTCAATTTTTTGTGGTTAACTTTTAAATTTTATTTATTAATCATTCATTTTATTTATTAACTAGCTTCGCTGAGCGCTTCATAGTATTGAATTTTTAGATCTAGACTTAAAATTTAGATTATAATTTTATGTCAAATAAAATTTTTTAAAAGTTAGTTCTTGGTTTTGCCAATAGATGGCTTATGGTTCTCGCTAGTAGAAAAATTTAACCAAAGTATATATTACACGGAAAGAAATTTTTTTTTAAATTTATCGTATTCAAATTAATCTGACTAATTTTTTTTTGTATTAGACACTTTTTTTGATTCATCAACTTGTGTATTTTCATTTTTATACTTAAATAGTCGTTAATTAAATGACAAATATATTAATTTAAAATCTGCAACTCAAGTGTAGGTATGATTGACAGGGTGAAATGGTATCGGAGCCAACTATTGACACCCATAGACCCTATTATTGACAGGTGTCAACCCTATTATTCAGGTTTAATTGAAATTTAAACTTCGAATATAATTTATTATTTACTAGTAAACAACAATATTTTGCTCAGACAATTCTTTTTTTATTATAAAATTACGCGAGACAACATGTAAACAAATCCGCTATGTATGTTAAAGAGGTTAAGTTTCTTAAAATTGTAGGCTGTCGCTAGTTAAACACATGTTAATTTTTATGTACCTAATATTGACACCCGCTATTTTTAAATCATAATTAAAATTTATCAGCTTAAAACAATAAATCTAAGATTATTCAGAGTTTAAATAACCTCAAATAATTTTGAATGATAGGCTTTTATCAGAATTATATAGAAAAATTCGCTATTTAAAATACACTCTCTCTTAGCGAAATTGTTAAGAAATTTTAAATAAACTAGCCATAGTGGTCTACTCGGAAGAATAAAATTTTTTTGCAGTTAATAATTAATACCCAGGCATAAAATTTGACTTTTTTCTTACTAAAAAATTATCAATAAAAGCTTTTTAAAAATACTTTATAAGTTTTACTGTTTATAATCATAAACTTTTAATTTTTTTAAAATACAAACTAGTATACGTTGCGCGCGCAAGCGCGCGTGTGAATGTTGGTATGGAATTATCTATATTTTCATGCTTATGATATATTCAACCAATCACATTACGAATAGTTTGATTCCACATACATTTCATCTCAATTTTATTATGGGACTAGAATTTAATTTTCGCGCGCAAGCGCGCGCGTCATATTTATTGTCATGATATATTTATGTGTCGTTTATGTATATTATATTCACTTTCAACCAACCAGAATGAGAATAAATATTTTCAACCAATCACATCACGAATAAATTGGTCTCACATACATTTCATCTCAATTTTATGATGGGACTTCACAAATTACGGCAGTCACGAAGTGACTGCAAGGTTGCTAGTTACTAATTAATAAAGAAATAAAACTAACCCACAATCAAGGTACAGCGCATCATAGTTCGAAACAATAACCTGAAAATCATTCTCCAGCAACCTTCTAATTGTACTGTCATAAATATCCGTCCAAATTTGTATAATATACTTCCTCGGATCCAAAAATTTCAAATACTCTTCATCAGTCAGCGAACTGGTCCACAAAACAGCCTTTTCAATTTTTTTCCCTCCCGAATTAAGTTTCTCAAAAGCCAGTTCTTGAAAATACATCCAAAGCTTCATGAAGCCATTGTCATCCAAGCTCCATCCCTTATTGGTCATCCAGGTGCGAATAGACTCTGAGGAAGCCCAGCAACTAGTCTTGACCTCGTCTCCTCCCATATGGAAAATCTCAGGCCTGAAATCCTCCAGGAGGTCTTTGTAAAGTCCACCCAGGATTTCGTAGACTTTATCACTAACTGGATTAAGCTGACCACAAGGAGGCTCCTGGCAGAATTTATTCCAGGGTTGCGCACGAAAGCAAGCCAGAGTGTCATCACCAGCCCACTGCCAGCCTTCTCCAACATGCCCTGGAGCGTCCAACTCTGGAACCACTCTGACTCCATGAAGAATTCCGAATTTGATGATCTCTTTGATGTCTTCTGAAGAATAAGTCTTCTCTGGAGAGTAAGATCCGTACCTGGACATGTTCGGCCAGGTTCTGCTGACGTAGGGGAAGCTTTGGGAGTCTGATAGGTGCCAGTGGAAGGTGTTCAGCTTGGACATTCCCATCGCTTCTATTGTTCTGAGGATTGTTGCTTTGCTGATGAAGTTCCTGCTGGTGTCCAGCAGGATTCCTCGGTAAGGATACACTGGAGCGTCAAGGATGGAGACATTTGAAGCAACCTGGAACTGGTTAGTCAGCTCGTTGAAGATGATCAGCTGCGACAGTGTTTCAAGGCCATTTCGAACCCCGAAGTAGCTTTGTCCTCTGATGATCACCTTGAAAATTAAATTTATCTACTTGGTAATTTTTTTAATTTTCTATACAAAGAAATTATCTCAAAAAAAAATTATTAAAAAATGGACATGTAGAAATTTTAATAAATTAAAAAAAAAATGGTGTGTGTACTTATGTACACGCGCCAGAAGTTATACTTCTTTGGTATATTATAAAAAAAATTTTAAAGAAAAAAAAATGCAAAAATGATGAAAGAAAAATGTTAAAAACAATCAAATAGGTTTTATTATAGTAAAAATTTAGCTATACCGTATAAATATAAAATCATTAATTATCATATGAATTTAATTCAATATTATTAAAGATTTTTCTAAATAAACTAATTTTGGAGCTTCAAAGTATCAATAGTTTACAATCGATAATTATAAAATATTTTAATTATGAAAATTAAGTTAGCTGACATATAAAAATTTTGAGAATTTTTTTTTTATTGAAAAAATAATTAAAAAAAATAAAAAAAATCTTTCACTTGTAAAAAACTTCAAAAACTGTAAGTGCAATTTTTAAAAAGTATTTTTTTGTTCTAATTTAATTATTAAAAATATTATTTAAAATATATTATGTTTCTTATAAAATAATTCATTATTTATTATTTAACTTAGTGATAATATCTTTTTAATTAATATTTATTCAAAAATAATGTATACATAAATTAAAAGACAAATATTGTAGTACGAAACTAGATTTTGTTAATATTAAATGCAACATGGAATTGGATTATAAGAGTCTTAGAAATGGAAGAAGACCGCCTACCGAAAGCCTGCCTTAAACGACAGTCTAGACTCTTCATCGATGGCAACTGCCATAGCAAATATAACTGGCTCGCAAGTCTACTCAACGTTGTTAAGACCATAACACCGGAATTACTGCCTGACTTAAACACCCTCAACCCCAGAACCTGGACAGCACACAAAACAACTTTTTTTGATAAGTACAAAGCACATTTAATGCAAACTGATGAACACCTGCATGAAAATGCGCACTACTTACAAAATCCGCCATCTAACACGGCGAAAAGCTATTTAAATGAAAGAATCGCCTTTCAAGCAATAAAACTCTTACTGCAATTGAGACTTGCTAGTAAATATTATTGTCAGCTAACAATTGACGGACATCTTCATAAGTTCAACTTCAGCGAAAATTGCCCAATTTGCAACACTGGAGAGCCTGATTCCATTGAACATCTGATGATTGGCTGCCCGATCTACAACCACTTGCGAGAACATCATCTATCGGTTTTTAACTCACCTCGGACTCTAACGTCTATTTTAAATGCAGACAATAAAAAATTAATTAAAGCAATATTGTACTATGTTATCAACAGCTGTCGTCTAAGGGCTTTCTGCCTAAATGAGTGAACTATTTATTGTAAAAAGAAAAAAAAAAAAAAAAATTTTTTTTTTTTTTTTTCTTTTTACAATAAATAGTTCACTCATTTAGGCAGAAAGCCCTTAGACGACAGCTGTTGATAACATAGTACAATATTGCTTTAATTAATTTTTTATTGTCTGCATTTAAAATAGACGTTAGAGTCCGAGGTGAGTTAAAAACCGATAGATGATGTTCTCGCAAGTGGTTGTAGATCGGGCAGCCAATCATCAGATGTTCAATGGAATCAGGCTCTCCAGTGTTGCAAATTGGGCAATTTTCGCTGAAGTTGAACTTATGAAGATGTCCGTCAATTGTTAGCTGACAATAATATTTACTAGCAAGTCTCAATTGCAGTAAGAGTTTTATTGCTTGAAAGGCGATTCTTTCATTTAAATAGCTTTTCGCCGTGTTAGATGGCGGATTTTGTAAGTAGTGCGCATTTTCATGCAGGTGTTCTAGGTTAATAGATTTTTATAGCTTTAGTATCAGAAAAAGAAAACCTTAATCAGGATCAATAAATTGGTGCATTTACCCTAATCTAAAATTTTTTAGAAGTTTTTTTTAGTAAAAATTGTTACAAAAAAATTAAAAAAAAAATTCAATTTTAAAAAAGTTTAAAAACTATAAGTGCAATTTTTTAAAAATATTATTTAGTTCTAATTTAATTATTAAAAAATAACTCAATAAATTAAAAACGTCGGCTAACTTTAGTATCATTAATTATTTATTTAAAATATATTATGTTTCTTATAAAATAGTTTATTATTTATTATTTAACCTAGGGATAATATTTTTTTAATTAATCACCTGGATTGAAGAACTGTTGTGTTGGTGGATCTTTAAAGAGTAACTCTCTTTTGTGTCTAATCTCAAAGTTGTTCTGTTGTCACTCAGTCCTCTGACTTTTATTTCAAGGCTACAATCTTCATTTTGGTCTTGTTTGCTGACATTTCTTCCCAGTTTGTTGACATTTCTTCTTAGAGAATGGACAATAACCTTCAAAAGCCGGCCAATTTCTGAATCTGGATGCGGCAAGTGGGAAAGTCTTATTTTTTTGGGGTTTATAACTTCCAAAGAATTGCCAAGAGAGACATCTCCCGTGGGAATTGGTAACAAAGATCCTGTACCACAAAGAAGCTGACAAGCTTCTAAAGATCTTGGAGAAGTAACCTCTGGAGTTAGTTCTGATTTTTTACACCGTTTGTTTGTACATTGATAATGCCACGGTGAGCTGAAATTTTATTTGTTTTATAGTAAGAAGAAATATTTTTATAAAAAAATAATGACATTAATGTTAGTCACTTAATTATTTTTTATTTTATTTAACAAATTTTTTTTCAATAATTTAAAATTTCTGTCAAATTTTTTTGCAGTAATTTCTTAAAAAATTATCAAAAATCTTTTTATGAAAAAAAAACTGTTCATAATTATCAATTGAACACCTGTCATTTTATAATTCTATTTTATAGCGCAAGTGTTTAATTGATTATTGCTAGATTTTGATTAATCACAACTGGTATTAATTTGTAGTTATGTATATAGCTCACGTTAATTTACTTAGCTGGTAATTAGAATATTAAAATAGGTTAAATATACAATTATTCTATTCATTAATAATTTTTTGGTTTATTGTGAACAAAATCAAGGTTAAATCTGACAGATAATTTTATTTTGCGTCTAAAAGTTGTTCAAACAATCTTACACGAAAAGAACAAGATTATACTGGATATAATCCCAGATTATACTGAGTGAAATTTTTTTTCAGATAGTAGCTAGTATAATCCCGATAACAATGAGCGTAATCCAGATTATAATGAGTATAATCCAGATTACAATGAGTATAATCCAGATATTATCCAGTATAATCTGGATTATACTAGCTACCATCTGAAATTTTTTTTCGCCTCAGATGTCACTGAGTATAATCTGAGATGGTATCCAGTGTCGTCTTGTTCTTTCCGTGTACCAGGAAATACTTACTGGTTTTTTGATTTTTTTTTTTTTATCAGTAATTATAAAGACAATTAATGCTTTAAAAATTTTTTTAATGAAATTAAAGTCAACAGTCACTTGATAATTTTTTAATTTTATTTAATAGATAAATTTTTTCTGAAAAATTATTTTTAAAAAATTGCATTTATAATTTCTAAAAATTTCTACGTCAATTTTTTTTTTACCATAATTTATTTTTTAAAAAATTCTAAAAATTATTACATACCTGTTAAATTAATTAATTAATTAATTTTTTTATTAATATTTTTTATTGCAATGTTTAATTTGTTTCAAAAAATTCAATGTTTATATTGACATTATTAGTTAAGATTAAATTTAATTTAATGAAATAATTTTGACGGTTCTTATAATTAAATAAAATAAATTGAAAAAAAATTTACAATTTATAGAAATTAAAAAAATTACAAGTGCGCATTTTTTTATGTTACTTAGCAAGAAAATTAAATTTTTTATCAAGAATTTTTTTTATTGAAAAAAATTAGTTAAAAAATTGACAGAAAATTCAAAAAATTTTAAGTGCATTTTTTTAAAAATATTTTTTTTTAATGATACTGATATCAGCTGTCAATTTTTTTAATTAAAAAAAAAAAATACTTAAAATTTTCATTAATAATTTTTTTTAATTTTTTGATTTGAAATTTTTTTAATAATAATTTAATTGCTATAAAATTATAAAAAAATTTCTTGCAGTTAACTAATTTTTTTATGAAAATTGAGTTAGTTTTTAAAAATTTTTATAATTTTTATAATACTACTGTTAATTTTTTTTTTTTCATTAAATTAGAACTAAATAATATTTTTAAAAAATTGCACTTAAATTTTTTAAAATTGAATTTTTTTTAGTAAAAAAAATTAGATATCTAACTTAATTTTCATAATTTTTTTATTTAAATTATTATCAAAAAAAAAAAAAAAATTTAACACTGAGTACAATTTTTAATAAATATTTTTTTTTCTAATTTATAATAAAAAAAAAAAATTTTTTTAAGTCAGCTAATTTTAGTTTTATTATTTTTTTAATAATTAATATCTAAATTTAGTATCAAAAAATTTTAGTAATTAATTAAATAATAATACTTAAAAATATTTATTTTGTAAATAAAAAATTTACCTGAAGTGAGCTTCAACAAAACTTTGTAAAGCTAAAGTAATAATAATAAAATAAATCATTTTATGGAAAGATTTTTATTAGAAATATCTAAGACTTGTCGAGTAAACTAACGTTTGCCGGTGTACGGTATAAATACCTAGTCATAATTCTATAAATAATCTGAAAAATGGAGGGGATTTAAGTGAAGACAATTAAAAAAAATATATATATAATTAAATGGAGATGGAAAATAATTTAATAGACACAATAAAAATTTTAAAATGATTTATTCAATATATTATTTGAATATTTACATAGTTGAATATATTTTAAAATTTACAAAATTAAAAAATGAATTCTTTAAAAAAAAAAAAAAAGTAATATTTGTTCTTCTGACTAGTTGAAGAAAAAATAACAATTACTAAGAGAGATCATGAATATTTAATTGGCAATTTGGAATGATGAGTCTGAAGGACAATTTTATCTGCTTGCTCTTCAGATGGCAAGGAATGTTCTCTTGTAATAATAAATATAAAAAAGAGTGAACACAATTATCTAATTAAGTAAAGAGAGAATACCTTGATCGAGTAAAGACTGACTAGATCTTGCTCTTATCTCTTTGTCAATAATAAAGTAACTAAGTAACTTTGGATTGCTCCAGGCGTCTTGGTAACCCGACATGAATCACTTGTCGCTGATCGTCTGGATGGATAAGTTGATCCGTGTTCTTCCACCTCCATTTTTTGTCGTTCTCTTTCACGCGACGGCTGTCAATGTAACTGACCACGCAGCTCGCGGGGATCCATATTATAGCTGTGCAGATTATTACTGCTCCGACTATGTTGTCTTTTAGAAATCTTATCACTTTGTTGATGTTTATGTCTTCTATTATGTCCCAGAAACGCTCAACTACGTCCTGGATTGTTTTTTCACAAATTCCCTGCAATAAATATTTTTAATTGATAAATTTTTATAAAGAATTTTAGCACTTAAAATTACAAAAGATATTTTTATACCATCTGTAGATAATTAAGGAATGACCTTGTATTTTGAGAACTATTGACATTTTTAAAGATATAAGCTCATCCCGATGTTACGCTCATTGAGACCTTTCATTTGAGTACCCACATCAATTTTTCATATATTTCATATATTTATATATATTATATATATGTATTTATGAAAAATATATCAAAAATGCATGTGGATATTCAAATGAAAGGTCTTGATGATTGTAACATCGGGATGAGCTTATATCTTTAAAAATGTCAATAATTAAGAAAATTACCTTGTATCTTGTGGAATATTGACATTTTTAAAGATATAAGCTCATCCCGATACTACGCTCATATATGTATTTATGAAAAATATATCAAAAATGCATGTGGATATTCAAATGAAAGGTCTTGATGATTGTAACATCGGGATGAGCTTATATCTTTAAAAATGTCAATAATTAAGAAATTACCTTGTATCTTGTGGAATATTGACATTTTTAAAGATATAAGCTCATCCCGATGTTACGCTCATTAAGACCTTTCATTTGAGTACCCACATCAATTTTTCGTATATTTATATATATTATATATATGTATATATGAAAAATATATTAAAAATTCATGTGGGTACTTAAATGAAAGCTCTTGATGAGTGTAACATCGGTATGAGCTTATATCTTTAAAAACGTCAATATTTAAGAAATTACAGTGCAATTTAACAAAGTCATTATTTAATAAAACAAAATTTTATTTATCTCACAATTTACCGCAGTCACAATTTTAATTGAGCCAAAAAACAAAAATATTATAAATACTAAATTTTATATTACAATTAAAAAATCAAAAATTTAATACCTTATTACAAAAACCCTGAATACATGGAGTACCATCAGGTAATAAATCTGGAGGATCAATTGGGAAGCACGTTTCATTAAGATTCATTCGACAGCACCTTTTACACGCATCACCAACTGTAATTCAAAAATTAATTTTATTTATTAATAATTTATAATAAATATTTCATAAATTATTTTATCAGTGTTACAAAAAGTAAATTTAACAATAAATTGGATCAAAAAGTTAGTTTAAAAAAATTCCACTAGATGGCTACGGATCTTATAGTAAGAATTCTAAAATCTGAGTATTTAAATTAACCAAAACAATTTACAAAGGTCCAGGGTTCGATTCCCAAACAAAGTAATTTTTTTTTAACTTTCCGCTATGAAAATCAAAATTATTTACTAAATTATTTTTTCAGTGTTATAAAAAGTAAATTTAATAATAAATTGGGTAAAAAAGTTAGTTTTAAAAAAATCCACTAGGTGGCTACGCCTCTCACAGTTAGAATTCTAAAATATAAGTATTTAAATTAATCAAAAAAATTTGCAAAAGCCCAGGATTTGATTCCTAGACAAAGTAATTTTTTTTTTAAGTTTAAACACTGATACTAATTTATTAAATTTTTTGAATTTTTAATAAATAATTCTATTGGTGTTATAAAAAGTAAATTTAATAATAAAAAATAAACTAGATCAAAAAGTTAGTTTTAAAAAAATCCACTAGGTGGCTACGGCTCTCACAGTTAGAATTCTAAAATTTGAGTATTTAAAATCATTCAAAATTTTGAAGTCCAGGGTTCGATTCCTAGACAAGGTAATTTTTTTTTTTTTCAGTATAAACATTGATAGTATTTATTAAATTTTATGAATTTTTAAAAAATAATTTTTTACCATTAAACAATTCATGAAAAAATTTTTTATTAATAATCAACTAGGGCTCAAAAATATTTTCAAAAAAATTGCATTTATAATTTTTTAAAGCTTCTAAATACAAAATTTTTTAAATAAATTTTCAGTATCACAATTAAATAAATATTTAATAATAAAATGCATAGGTATAATATAATACTCACTAATATCACACATGCAACTCTGCAACCCCTGAGTCTCGCAATAAGGAACACACTTCCCCAGCCTGCACTGGCCCCTCTCCAAGCACGCAGTGCCATTCTTCATCGGCGGTGACCTTGGACACTCACTGGAAGCACCAGTGCACCTGGACTCCTGCTCGCAAGTAGCATACTGAGCATCCCTGCACTTAGTCCCCAATCTCATGAACAAACAATTCTGACAACAAGGAGAATTCTTATCACTGCAAACAGCACCCTGGTTCCTCCTGAGCTTGCAATTCTTATCACAGCAAGCATCATTGTCCTCAGTGCCCAGCAACCCTGCATCACACTCTTCATCACCTTCAACCCTAAGATTCCCACAGAAAGACTCCTCAGGCTCGCTGAAGCACCTTCCAGATTTAGCCTGGAGGACTTTCTTGATGGACCTCAAGCTGCAGGGAGAGAATCTCTTATTGTTAACATCATACCCGCTGACACTGTAGGTGTACATTAAATAAGAGCCACCCTGACTTGCACTGGGGCTGCATTCAGTGACATCTGGGTCGTGCTCGGAGCCCCAATTGTGTCCGAACTCATGAGCAGTCACTAAATCAGCTTCTCTGGTGATAACTCGCTGCCCGTAATGATTCCTGCTGGAGCTCAATCCGGAGTTTAGGTACAGAGTGTAGCCATTTTTAAAATACTCTGGGGTGCAAATTCCTCCGACGGAATTCCTCCGGGGAGAGCCGACGTAAGCCAGACCCAGAATTCCGCCCTCGAATTTTAAATCCGTGAACAAATGAGCCAAGCAGAAATCTTTGTGGCTGTACTCGCGGCTAAACACTTCCAGCAGAGTACGGACGTCCCATTTTTCGCGGATCATGTTGTAGTGGGTGTCTCCACCTCGGACTCGGGTAGGCTCGCTGTGGACTACTATCTTTTTTATCACAAATCCCATTCCCTTGAAGCCGTCCTGTTCTAATCTGTCCTGCCAGAGTGTGTCGTTGTAGATCTTGTGCACTCGGTCGATTAGGCTTATCAGGTAGTTTATGGTTGTCTTGGTGCTACTTGCTCCCATTTCTTGGTAGAATCTGTAGTCAGCTACTAGTAATAGAGGACAGCGGGTTTTTGTTGGGGTATACTCGTAAGTTTCAGCTTGTCTTTTTGTTCTAAAAAATAAAATTTTTTTCTTCTCTGTATTCTTGAAATATTTATAAATATTTTATAAAAAATGAATAATAAAAATATTGATGGCCATTTTTATGACACTTCAAAAATTACCTTTAATTCAAGCTTCTAGACCAGAATACTTCCTTAAGTATGAAAAATTTTTTTAAGAATAATAGTGGTTAAATAAAATAAAATTTCCTTTAGAATTATTACCCACATTAATAAATTGCCTTGAAAATATAAACCCGCAGAAATCATTTTTTTTTTTTTTTTTTTTTTCAATTTGTATTTACTTTATTGTTGTAGTAGATGAAATTTTTATACGAATTTTTGAATAATCTATATAATTGATCTATATATGCATGATTTTTTTGTTTATAGAATTCATTTTAATGAAAGAACGAAATTTTGTCTTTATATATACCTCCTAGAAAGATGTTTCTAGTAGCGAGAAAGCGTAGCCACCTAGCGGTAAAATCAAGAACTAACTTCAAATAAAAAAGCACCCAATGACCTATGTAATTAAAAGAATAAGGAAAATTTTGTCTCTAGTCTATTTATATAATGAATTGAGTTTTTTAAATTAAATTTAGTATTATTGGAAAGATCTTGACCTGAATTTGTGCCGTTTCATCTTTTTAAATACTGAAATTTTCATAAGATTAATATTAAGGATTTTTTGCTGATAAAATTCATTTTAATAATAGAAGAAAGTTTCATCTTTATATATACCCCTTAGAAAGATTTTTCTGATAGCGAGAAAGCGTAGCCACCTAGCGGCAAAACCAAGAACTAACTTTTAATAAAAAGCACCAAATAACCTATATAATTAAGGGAATAAGGAAAATTTTGTCTCTAGTGTATTTACATAATAAAATTAGTTTTTCAAATTAAATTTAGCATCATTGGAAAGATTTTGATCTGAATTTGAGCCTTTTCAATCTTTTCTATGCTAAAAACTTCACAAAAATATTAAGGATTTTCTGCTGATAAAATTCATTTTAATGATAGAAGAAAATTTTTTCTTTATATGTATCCCCTAGATAGATTTTTCTGATAGCGAGAAGACATAGCCACCTAGCGGCAAAACCAAGAAATATTTTCTAATAAAAATTACCAATTAAGATATGTAATTCACAAAATTAAGAAAATTTTGTTTCTGGCGTATTTATATCATAAAATAAACTTTTTAAATTAAATTTAGTATAATTGGAAAAGTCTTGATTTGATTTTGTGTCTTTTCAATATTTCATATGCTTTATTTCTTAAAGCAAGAGAATTAATTTTTAGAATAAGTGAAATTTCTTGTCAAAAAAAAATTTTTTTTACTCAAGAAAATAATTAGGAAGAAAAATATTTTCTTAGCTCAAGTGAACCTTTTTTTCTGTGCAAAATTTTTGTATTAATTAGCAAATAATTATAATATTATTATCATCAAACCTTGATAATTTATCCGAATCGGATTCATTATTATAATCCGTGTCTTCTTCTAACGTGATTTCAACTTCTTCAAAATCTTCACCCTGATCTTGATCATCCTCCCCATCATCTACGATTTCTTTAATATACCCGCAAGTTTTTGGTACGCCATGAGTATGCCCTTCTCCATTCTCGACATGCTCCCAACTGAGCTTAACATCAGAAGCTTTATAAATAATCATCGAGTTGTTCCCGAGGTGCGGAAGATGTCTCCAGGATGGCTCAATGTGGTAAGTTTCGTCTGAGATAGTAATACTGCCGGTAATAACACCCTCGTCAATGTGAACCTGGGCATGAGAATCCAGTTCCCCGAAGACGCGGCCGTGGTAGAAACTCTCGTGGTCCAGGTGAACGGATTTTTCCTCTCCGTCGGCATTAACCTCGTAGGCTTTGAATTTTGAGTGGATCACTTCCTTCCGCGGGGTCAGAATCAGCCGAAAGTGACGACCGTGTGCGTAAAATTCTACCTGGTTTATTTTATTGTACGGGTGACTGCCGTGTTGAGTTCCTCGTTTTACTATGTTGTGCTCCAGGTGACGGACGTGCAATGTTTCATAATACTTTAGGTTTTGATGCAGAGTGTCTGAAAATTTTATTAATTAATTTATAATTAATAGAAAATAAAAAAATTCTTTTTTGTAAGAAAATATGATACTAAAATTAGCCGACATTTCAAAATTTTTAGAAATTTTTTATTGAAAAAATTTCAATTAAAAAATTTAAAAAAAAAAATTGTCACATGTAAAAAACTTGAAAAGCTATAAGTGCAATTTTTTAAAAATATCTTTTTAGTT